TCGACCACAACCACTCGCACCCTCCAGCCGTACAGGGGGCTTCATCCGCCTCCATTTATGTATAGCTCCCCCCCTTCCAATACACACACGATAACGTGTTGGACATACAGCCCCCGACTGCTCCTAGCTCCTGGGACCCTCCCCTCAGGGCTCCAGGTATGTACGAAGATTACATCTTCGGAGAGTAATGCAACTTCAGAAGGCGATGTAACGTTTTCCCCACCCCCGCAACCCCCACCCCCCATCCCCCACCACCCCCAACCCAACCCCCCAACCCACACACAAACACCACACCCGACCGCAAGCCCCCCCTTCATGCCCTAAAACCCCACAACCATTCCCACCCGCAGTAACGCTAGAATATTCCGCATTCTCCAGGAGTGCCACCAGTCGTACAAATGCAGCGCTGGCGTCAGCCGCCGCTGCCTCGAGCGCCGCCGAATCTTCTACGGAGCCGCTGGCGGCGGCAGCGGAAGCGGCGGTGGCGGCAGGGCATGCCGTACGGCCCTCTGGGAGCTTGGGGTTGGGAATCGCGGCCGCCACCGCCGGGCTATTGTCGTGTCGGGGAATTATAGGATGCAGGGAGCAAAGGGTCAACTGACAACTGCCAACTCACCAACTGCCGGAACGTAGATGAAGTTCTCGCCACCTAAAAACTGAGTTGCCGGTAAACCGCCCATGAAGAGTAAGGGTAACGAATCGTTCTGTCGCTAACTGAAAAGCGTTATGTGCAGAGGGAGGCGGAGGTGCGAGGGCACCTTGGCGATTGTTGCGTTGACGTGCCGTCATGTAGTGAAGGGGGTATGTACGACACATGACGCACGTCAACCGCTCACAGCGCCTCGGGGGCCCACATTGGGGGGGGAGAATCACTGAGAGAAAAAGGAAGAACGGGAAACCCTAAAACCCCAAGTAAAACCCCAAGTAAAACCCCAAGTAAAACCCCAAGTAAAACCCCAAGTATAAGTGAAACCCCGAGTGAACCCCACCTAAACAGCTCCAGGGAGCGCTCCGTGTTGAGGGTTAGGAAGCTCGCGCTCACGAGGTTGCGAGCCGCCTCCTTCCCGGGGTGGGGCCCGGGGATGAGAAGAGGGGGTGGGGGAGGTAAAGCGCACACATGATCATATGTCTATACGTGTGTAAATACACATACTCTATAACTGTAACCCACCCCCTTTCCCCCCACCCCCACCCCCTTGGCGGGGCCCTGATTCCGTTAAGACTGGTAGACACGGTGCGTGCTGTGCGGGTTTGCAATCCCCCTCC